AGACTGACCAGCCTGTAGTTCCTCAAATTGTTCTCCTCAAAGAATAGCATAACCCTCATCTTCTCTCAGTCACCATGACCATCCCCCAGTTGCTACGGCCATTCAAAGGTGACGGACAGGAGCCTTCTACTGACCTCAGCCTGCTCCCGCAGCACCCTCCAGCACATTTTAAAGTCCAGATTTACAGTCCTGCTATTGGCATAGCAATCACCAGACTCTTCCATATCCTTACAAAAAGGAAGTTGTGCATGATGTATTAATTCAATACAACAAAATGTGGATGTGGAATGTGGGTGTTTTGGTTTTGGGAGCTTGGGGTGGGGGGGAAACAGTTGTTAGAGATTTTTTTTTTCCTTCTTCAAGTGTGATACAAGTTACACATTGCCTGGCATATAAATACCATTGTTTACAATACTGATACCTTAAAATTCAAAGACAAAATTATGTGATCAATTTGTGTTTATACATATGCTTTACATTTTGCTTTTGTCTCCATAGACAGCAAAACGTTCCATTTTGAATTTTAGGCTCTATTTTATGAATGGTACACAGTATTTTAGATAAAAAATTCTGGTTTGGAAACATCTGGTTTGGACCCACAGACTTATGAACAAGGGGGATAGTTAAAACACCCCCACCCACCAGCTGTAAGAGTATCAATCAAGCTGTGAGGTCTGGAAAAAAATAGGAACTTGCATAGCAATCTACACAAAACTAACCTAGCGATGCCATCCTGTGGCTATAAAGTGAAAATTCTACTGAAAAGCAGGATGAATGGTTAAGTTTTATATCAAGTCTTCTGCACAAGGAGCTACTGGCAGGTTTTGGAACTTCAGTGCAAGTTTAAGAGTATATGTATGTAGGATAGATCAAAAAGCAGTAGCTGGTGGTACTATGTGGTTTTTTGACGTTGCTGTGCAGGTTATCAAGTGGACATCTGCCCCTACTACTTACAACTGTGTGCATCAGGGAAAGAAGAAACAGAAAAATACCCATATTTTAAAGTAACTAACAACTGAAAGAAAAGGGATCATGATTTCAACTATTACATTTGAGTAAAACAATGTAAGAGAATACAATTAAAAAATCCTAGTTTAAAGTAACTCCTACAATCGCAAAATGCTTAGAGAGAAGCAGTAACATCTGTCACTAGGTTTTAAGGAAAATCATAACCATGAGAGCTAAAAACTTATAAAAGTGTAAACTATAATAATTTGATTCCAGCTGAGACTTTTCCTAAAGGAAAATACCAAAACAAAAGCCCAGAATACACAACACTAGCAAACACCATGCAAACTTGTATTACAATGGTAGCAGTTCAAAATGTAATCAACTATAAAAAATACAGTACTTTAATATTTTTCAAAATAAAGTATCTATACAAGAGTTATGTATGTAAGTTGAGACAGTCATTAAAATATAGTGTCTCATCACTTTCCCTCTACTGCAATTTTATTAATTTAAAATAGAAAGTATGATTTAAATTATTTTCTTTCAATTTTCTATTCCCAAGCAGCACTGGCCTTTGAATTCCAGAGCTCCTATTTATTTTTTTAAAGAAGCATTAACATTTTCTGAAGCCTTTTGGCTACTTTTTATTGATTAGCCAATTTGCTTCAGTACGAACAACACAACGTTCAAAGCTCTTTTATCTTGCCCTGAAAGATTCAGTAATGAAAAATCCTAAAGAGAGTGGGAGAAACAGCACAAGGACACTCAACAACAGGGTACACATGGTCTTTCTCAGCCTCATCTGCTCTCATGAAAAAGCTTTCTGGAAGAAAGATGCTCTCTTGAAAGAGCCTCCCACCAACCCCCTCATTTCACATTTGCAAACCTGCAATACCCAATGTTATGCTACCCAGTCATGCTATACAGTCTTTGTGCAACTGTAGCAGTTTTGTTCAGCCCATCTGTAGAGTGTTTCCCTTCGGTGGTTTGAGGCTTTCCTTCCTCTGCTTGGACAGCCCCCCATATTTTTACAACAGTTTGTGAGTTAAGCTTAGTCTGACAATCAGTGGTATCTCTGTAACCATACATTTCTAGTGTTTACTTCCATATTAGGCTTAAAAGAAATTGTTTTATAATGACCAGATCAGTGGACTTCCTTTCAGGCATAAAACTGTGCTCTTTCAGTCTTATTTCACCGGTAATGAATGATAAGAAACTTCTGAGGCCTGTTTATCCATCTGTAAAACCATTACTATAGGATGTTTTCACCCCTCAATATGCTGGCTCCTCAGATGACCTCATTCCCTCTGAACAGCAGGCAAACTTTGACTTTTGACACTCTGAACTGAAAATAGGAAGGGAAAAACATATGATGATAACAACAAAGCACAGTATAAAAACCAATTTCCTTCTCAATTAATAAGCCAGACAACTTCTCTGGCTCCCCTATGCAGTCCTAGGAGTACCCAATGTACAGCTCTATGACCCGCGGCAAAGACAAGGCCTTGCGAGTAAAAGTTAACTAGACAAAGAGACCTCTTCCCTTTCAACAGTTTCTATTTCTGCAGGCCATATAAAGATTTAAAATCGTTGCCAGTCCTACATTCCATTGTTTATCTAAGAACTGCAGGACTAGCACAGGAGCTTTCCTCAATAATATTTGAGTCTTTTGGGAGACACAAGCACATAAGAAGCAGTTTTTCACACCTTCTGAAGCCAGAGAAACAAGTGAGCTGGTAACCAGTAAAAAACATTTCTTACAGTATGATGCACCACCCCTATGCAAGAGTTGACAGCTGTTCTGTGCTCCTCCTGCTCTGCTCCTCCCAGCCTCTAACCTTTCTCTTCCAGCCCCCCTGCACCAGGCATCCTAATGAACAACCATCTTTCAAGGGGCAGGCTAGAGGATAACAAATAAGAACTTTAAGCCATGGAATCCATGTAATTGAGGACAGCTTTCTATGAAATACAGCAGTGACTAAATGAGCCAAACATCTATCAACTTCTTTGAAACACAAATTATTTGTAAACAACATGTCTCATCTCCTTGGAAGCCTAGAAGCAAAAGAATATTTTCAGTCTCTCACCCTCGGGAGAGAATGAGAAAAAGCAGACACATACTTAAAGGCTTTGGTTTGAAATGTATGCTTCACTGAAAAACATTTCTGTTCGTTGCTTAAAGCTTCAAATGAATCAAAGCCAATTTTAAAAATTCTTCTCTAAAATTAACATTTAGATTCAGTAACTCACAGATTCTTCCCATTCATAAAATTCAGCTTTGTATTTTAAGATGATCACCACTAGAATAATGTTTTTATATGCCCTATGATAGCTGACAGCTGGGAACTGCACCAGAGATCTGCCACCATCCAGACTTGATCTATTAGCTTTGAAAAGACAGACCATACTGTGGAATTACTGCACACTCTGACTAATACTTTAGGCTCACTTGACTGACTTTGACTTTCTGTTTGCCAGTTTTAAAGGTGGGGATAAGATACGTTTTACAGTTACTCAAAATCAAGACTTGAGTAAAAACTAGTAAACTCTCCCATTTCAAAAAGCTAGAAAGCATGCAGAACCAGGAAACAAGTCAGATCCATCAGCCAGAGCAGGCTAGCACACAAATGGCTGACCCAGCAGCGATGCAACCCCTCTTCCCTCAGGAAATCCTGAAGTGCAAAAATGCTTTTAAACTGTTGCTGTATAGTTATACAAAGTATTAAACTGGGGCTAGAAAGAATGTCAACTTACATCTCCATTGTGGCAAATACATTCAAAGCCATCAAATATGCAGCTATGAAGAGGTACCAATATTCAGCAATAGCTATCATCGTACTCTGCTAATGCATTTACCGTTCCATCTTGTTATAGCTGCAGTATTCTGAAACGTAAAAAATACCCGCTGTGCTTCCAACAGCATGCCAAGTAAAGATGTTGCCACAAGAGAGGTCAGTCTCTCAACTTGCACTGCAAGGACCTTTACCACTTCTTCAAACAGAAATGGCTACAGTAGGGGGAAAGAGGTAAAAGGAAAGAAGTTACTCCACATAAAACGTACTCACAGTTGAGAAGACTGGGAAGCATACATGACAAGACTTGACTTTGGGAATTCAGGCAAATAATTTTGGAAAACAGAGCATTAGCCACACGTACCATAAGAATTTCTATTCCCCCTCTCTCCCCAATCTGTTCTTTTCCTGCAGTGTGAAATCAGCCATTTAAGACATTTTCCCGAGGTAAAGATGACTGCAGTCGTCTTACACATGGTTGGCTTGCAAGATGAAGAGTCCAGTGCTTTTATTTTTAAAAGCATAGGAAAAATAATAAAAGAAAATTATTTTGAGGGGCTTTCCAGTAGTACTTAATGGTAGTTACTCCTACAGCACAAACAATACTAAGCAAACCGGTCTCTGCAGTGATACAAAAGGAAAATAAGGAATGATCTAGTTTATGCAGATGTACACTGAGTGCTGCCCATCTTTCAGACCAGTCCAGGAGCTACCTCTGAGTGGGTTTTCAAGAAAAGATGAAGTTTACAATGTACATAATGAACTTATCAAACAAGCTACTTTCCAAGAAAGTCCTTGCATAAAGTGTATGGTAAAATTAGTCTTTAACGTTCAATTATTGAGAAAAGATATTTTGTTGCTCCAAGCCCGGTGTACTATTTCTATCAAAGTTACCATGGAAAGAACAAGCAAAACCATCCAAACTTGCAATAATCCTAAGTTGTTTGTGACAGTTAAAAAAATTCTAACCAGAAACCAGCAAATTTTCTATTTGAAAAAGCCTGGCTGATTTTTCAAGTTAGCTCACAAAGAAAGTGGTGTGTGTCCAGAACAGATTTACCTGCAAGCACAGAAGGAACAATGGATTTCTATTCTGATCCCACAAAAGTGGGTCCTAACATGACCAACAAATGGAGAGACACTGGACAAATATTCTGAATTCTGTATCACATAAGGTGTATCACCAGGCATGAGCACAGAGTGGCCCCTTCCAGATAAGCACATCAAATTAGGAAAAAGGAGAAAGTTGACTCAAAATAATTTGGAAAGCCTCAAAATATAAAACTTTATTTAGCCACAATATAAAGAAGTATAGTATAAAGATATAAAACATAGAAATTTCATAATTAATTCACATGCTAAAAGGATTAATAGGCCAGCGGCAAGGAGGAGACTTCATAAAATGTACAAACATCTCAGCCATAAAGGCCATTTCATCAAGATTCAGACTTGAAATATTGAACAACCACTGCAGAGAACTTGCTCTCCCACATCACCATAACTAGGAAGGAAAAAGAAAAAAAAAAGGAAGTAAAAAGAAGCAAAGTCAGTGTCCCTACTGTTTCTGGAACATCAAGAATGCCATCCTATTCCATTAACACTGTAACAACAGGACTCCCACACATCACACTCTGTATTTCTTGATATTACAGAACTTAACAATGATGGCAAAAATTAAGATTACTACTTGGGAGTGCACTCATTCATCACTGGCCAGCATACCACATTGCTGGTGGGAAAGCAGATTCTCAAACATTTAAAGGAGAAGTTAAACCTGACTTGCACCAAGGCTGATCAGACCATTTCACAAAGGCATTTTATTTCCCAGAGTTTCAGAGTTTTACTGCTTCATGAGAAGAGCTCAAATCCTTTGAGTGGATGAGCCAGGTATCTGTCAGGTCCTCATATGCTACAGACAACTTTCAGAGCATATATAATTAAAATTAGCTTAAAGATTCAAAAGGCACTTACTCAAGAGTAGAGCACAAAGAGCAGATAACTGTGTTACAGCAGCTGCAGAGGCTGCTGCAGTTCTGACAGACAAGCTGGTCACATTGCGTACACGTTTCCTTGGCATCAGTTCTCACACAGGATGAGCAGGCTTTGGAAGCTCTCACGGGTGCTTGGGAAAGATACAATTAAGACAAGATGTATTTCACAGCAAAACACAGAAAGCACCTGGAAGTTCTAAGGACTGCAGAGCGTGGCGTTTCCCCTCAGCGTTACAGCTACAGGCGGCAGCACTCTGCAGAACACACCTGGTGGCACCAGCACAGCGCTCACTACTTACAACTTTGTGGGTTCCTTTTCTGCTCAACGGCAAGACTGCTGAAAGATTCTCAAGCAGTCAATGCAACAGCCTCCAAAACAGTTAGTGAAGCTCAAATTTAAAAATTTCTTTTTAATAAAGGACCATAAAGAAAAATAACGGAGAGACACCCTCCCCCCAACTCCACGACAGCCCAGCTCACTCAACATCGCGGCGCGGCGCAGCGCAGCGCCGGACGCCTGTCCGCGGTGGGGCCACTCACCTTTCCCTGCAGCTACAGAGCGCCTCAGCAGTTTCCCGTCATGGCCGATGAGCAGCTGCCCGCTCCAGCGGCGCCCCGCACTATCGTCCTGGGCCTCTCCGCCCGGCTCCACCGGGCGGGTCACTGCAGCGGGGCTGGCGGGCCAGGCGCCTTCCATGTACGCCTGGGCGCCCCTGAAGAGCAGCCGCCGGGTCCTCTCTGTGGGGGGAGAGGAAAGGAAAGTTAGGAGCGGCTTCTCCCCATCACCGCCCGCCATCAGGCCCGAGGGGAGGCGGCTGGAGGCCTGCGGGTACAGGCCGGGCCCGGGGGCCGACAGCTCCGGCGCTCTCCCTCAGTGCCCCCTCCTCACCAAAGATCTCCCGCCGATACTCTTCGCCCCGCACGCCGCGGCTCAGCTCGCGCAGCCCCACGCGGGTTTTCAGCTGGAGCGGGGCCGCCTCCCCGAAGGGGCAGGAGCGCTTCGGCATGGCGGGCCCGGCCCGGCCCAGCACGGCAGGGCACCGCCTCCCACGGACCGCCCCTCTCCGTCGCGTCACGGCCAATGGCGGCGCGGCAGCGGGAGGGGCGAGGGGGCGGGCGAGGGGCGGTGGAGCCGCCTCAGGAAGCCAAGACCTGCCTTGCGTTGCCTGAGATATTCAAAGGTCGGCGCCGCTCGGATCTGTTCCCCCGGAATTTTCTGTTCGCTTTTCTGTGCGCCCTGTCCGTGGTGTAGAGAATCCGGCTGGACAAAGCAAAACATGGGTTTGAAACTCGGTTTTGTCAATAAACTTTCTCCCCCCATAGGTGTTTCTGAACTCGTCTTCCTTTCTGCAGATCCTGAGGGTTACGCCTGTGTTCAGGCTCACCTAGCTCTTCCTAAACCACCGGTCAAAGTTAGAGCTGCCCAAATGCCACAGAACCAGCGAAAATGCGCACAAGTGGAAGAATTCATTCACTTTCTCTAAAGCCAGCGAGGAGGCTGGAGAAACTCCAGCTGGTCAGGTCTCCTCAGTACCTGCCAGCAGTGGCAGCGGGTCCACCACTCAGTGCGCAGTGAGGTTTCAGGGACTGATGCCCGCATTCCACTACACCACGGGGCTAAACCCTGAGGCTTTCTGCGGTCACTGTGCGACAGGGAATTACTGCAGTTTATTGGAACTGTCTCCGCAGTGAACTGGTGGATTCCCCAATGTCAAGCCACTTAAGACTTGGCTGGACAGGGTGCTGGGCCATGCTTTGCCTAGAAAGGTTGGGCCAGATAATCCTTGAGGTCCTTTCCAACCTGGTATTCTATGATTCTGTGATACAATTAAATGGCTATTTATAAGTAAGCTTTCTATAGCAGTCTAGGCATTGTTTCATGGATTAAAAGCCTCACGTTCAATTCCAAGTCACAGTCAGCCCGGTTACTGTGCATATTTTGAAAATACACTGTTTTTCTCTGGGCAAACAACCTTTAAAACTGGTGTTGATGTCCCTAGTGCGATATTTTGTGTGATTTGAAGAACACAGTAAGTCACAACATCTGTATTTCTTCCAGAGAGGTTTCTGAATTCAAACCTTCACCTGAATTCAAACCTTCACATGTATGCATGTAAAAGTCACAAGCAAGTACAGGAGTGATTTTTCCATCAAGGAACACCAAAACCACATTTCATCAGCACTAACTTCTGAACTGCTACTAGTTTGCAGGTAAAATCACACCGATTTCATACAGGTTAATGTTATTTTATGTATTTTCTTTTTTTTTCCTGTAGCGCTTCTCAGCCTAGCCTTGTGGTCTGTGGAGTAGAGTGGAAGCTCATGCACAGCATTGAAAATCCTTTCTGAGCTCCAAGTCTTACTCCTTCCACACTTCCTTTAGCTGTGAAGATTTCTACTTCAACTTTTTCTGCATGTACTTGCAAATGCATGCTTAAAGATGTTCAGCAGACAGCTTCCCACTGAACATTGAAAACTCACAGTCGTTTCGTCCTCTCTAAGGAAATGTCTTTGTGAATATTCATTAGACATAAACTCTGCTGTCCCTGAAGCTCTCTCGGGAATATGCATGAAGGGAATCTCAGTAAAGACAGAGGGCAGCAGATCACGTGTTTTATTAACAATGTCTAAGATAAACGTGGATGGAACTCGCCTGAGAGCTGTATGAAACACAAAGTGCTGTTCTGCTTGTGAAGAAGGAGTGTTCTAAAACACTCATCTCAGAATATGAAGTAGATTTGAAAATGAGAAGCACATGCTGCAGCAGTGCTGCTGGTGCTGTCACCAAAGGGTAAATTTAAGGTAAATTCCCTGAGGGATGACTACATTTACATGGGCCACCACCACCCCACTGCAGGGCAGGTGCAGAAATCTGTTGTAGCTGACTCAGCCTCAGGTGGTGACATCTCTCAATCTTAACATCTGTTACTGATCAGCTACTTCCTATTTGCAAGATATGAGGGCAAAATAATTCTGTCTAGTCTGTACCAATGTACCTCAGCATTCTGCAGGGGGGAAATGGCTCATCTGCCAGTCTGTTGACTTCTTACCCAATAGAATGATTCTGAGTATTTTATTACTTTCATAGCAGTAAGCCTTGAGGAAGATCCACTGGTGATTTGGAAGCAGAAGACAGGCTGAGATGTGATTTGGCAAAGCTTGCTGGCATGGAGAATTCACGAAAATTAATGCTGACGATTTCCCAGTTTAGTTAATGAGATTGCATGTTACATTGCACAGCTTCTGAATGGGAAAAAGTGACCCCCAAAACCCCAAACCAGTAATAGTAATTGTAAAATACGATGATTTTGGTTTATCCTTGAAAATGCCTTTGTGAAAAAAAGCAGAGAATAAAAATTACAGTCTTTCTCTTGCCACTTTGCTTCTCTTGTGCCTATGTGAATGTTACAGACGAATTACCTGGTTGATAGCTTTGTCAGTCACAGAACAAAGAAAAAATAAATGTCATTTTTTTCAATAGTTTCTACTTCCAGTAAGCAAATTTAAAGAGCAAAATGGACTGTGCTCTCTAAGTCTGTCTTTCCTAATTTATTTCTATCAGCGCCTCAAGAAAGTCAGGGTAGACACAGAAGAACTCTGGCCATAGTTCAGCTTCATCACTTTTAGCAGTTTAGAGCTCAGAAATTCTCCAAGCCAAAATTTCTGTCTAGATCTTAATATTTAATAGCTGCCAGTATGCTTGTTCTTCACAAATTTGTCCAGTCCCCTTCACAAAACTGGTAACGTTTCATTTCTTTTACTCCAAGGTCTGTAACTGTGTAATGTTATTATTAAAAAATGCTTCATCAGGTTTTCTTCCAGTTTGACACCTGTTAATTTCCTTGGGGGCCTCCTATGTCTAGTTTTATAAAAAGTAGCAGGTAGCAATTCCCTATTGACTCTCTGCATAACATCCATGACTATAAAGATCCCTCCTGTAACATCCTCCCTCATATTTTATTCAAGCCAAAACATTTTATTATGTTGAAGCACTCGTTTGCACTGTGTCCCACCTCAGATCCCCTGTGCTACATCCCAGTGCATGGCACAGGAAGCCTAAGGCATGCACTGGTGCTCTGGAGAGCGACTGGGGTGCATGGGAAGGGATGGAGGGTGCCCTGAGAGCTCTGGGCAGGAGGGGACTGGATGTCTGAGAACTCCCTGCAAACCTAGGCTGCAGGGTATAGATAGCCTCACTCCTTTTACATACCTCCCATGGTCTCTTAACATCCTTCCTGAAGCTAGGTGGCCAGTGTGCTGGCTGTGGGCATGCCGTGCAGGTGGACCACACAAATCCAAAGGTGTTTTTTTCTTGGTCCCTCCCCTAGTAATTCCTAAAATTTTGTCATTTTGATTACTACTGAAGTACCAAACCGGTGCTTTCAGGGGACTATTCATACATGGTTCACAGCATCACTCCCCTGATCACTTAGTTCAGAACTCATCACTGCATGTATATAACTGGGGTTATTTTCCCCCCATGCATACTGCTTACTTACACTGCCAATTTATTGCCTGCTTGGTATTGTAAGAGCCTTGAAAACACACAGCTGTAGTTCATCCCAGTTGGCTTTCAGATTTGACTTTTAACAATAATGCAGCAAATACTGATACCTCACGGCTCATCTCCCTTCCTCAGAGTACTTTATGCTGAGTTGCCAGCAGCTTTCCAAGTTTACCAATAGTCAGGAGTACACCAATCCCTTCATAAGAACTGACATCACATTCCTTTTGCACTGAGACCAATTTAATCAAATATATCACATTCAGACCTGAACTACAATAGAATTTGCCTACAAAATTTAGAGATTTACATTTTAAGTACTCCACTAAGTGATTACAGATGTTAAGATTTTTTGTTTCTGAACCATCTGTAAGACAATTATAATAAATGTTTGCCTGTCAGCCAATGCTTCCAACTACTCCAAAATATAATCAGAAGTAAACAAGCAGACTGGAGTAAAAATCACAGACAGTGTAAATCACAGGCATGGCAAATCAAGACTGGATGCTTTCTTAAAAGGAAAAGAACTTGCAAGCTTGTAAAAGAGCAAATTGAGGAAAATTATGCCTTCTGGTTTAGACAGGGTCAGACAAAATATCCACAACGGCAGATTTGTGAATCTAAATATTCATCAGTCTTACTTCTTCCCCTCTATGCCTGGCTCTGGAACAATCTTTCTCTGCTTACTATAACAAGTGTTCCATTTTAGGAACAGGTGGCAGATAAATAGCAACCCAGGAGATGATACCAGGTTTTAAACTGCTCCAAATGCCTAATAGTAGGTTCTCATAAACATCAGAAGAGCCTTAAAAATCATTTACCTTTCTCTCCACCTTCACTTATACCAAAGCTCTCCCCTCCCTGTGCTTGTAGTAAAAATTCCCCATATATTCTATTTTTTCATTATTAGGCTATTTAGAAAAAAATCAAAACACCATGCCTAGATATGGGACTGTTTCTCACACCACTTCAAGTAAGGCATTTCCTTAACAGAATCATAGATTCATAGAATAGAATCACAGAATAGTTAGGGTTGGAAAGGACCTTAAGATCATCCAGTTCCAACCCCGCTGCCATGGGCAGGGACACCTCACACTAAACCATGCCACCCAAGGCTCTGTCCAACCTGGACTTGAACACTGCCAGGAATGGAGCATACACAACTTCCTGGGCAACCATTCCAGTGCCTCACCACCCTCAACAGTAAATAACTTCTTCCTTACATCCAATCTAAACTTCCCCTGTTTAAGTTTTAATCTGTTACCCCTTGCCTATCACTACAGTCTCTAATGAAGAGTCCCTCCCCAGAATCCCTATAGGCTCCCTTGACTGGGGAGGGACTCTTCATTAGGGACTGAAGTGATAGAACAAGGGGTAACAGATTCAAACTTAAACAGGGGAAGTTTAGGTTGGATATAAGAAGGAAATTCTTTCCTGTTAGGGTGGTGAGGCACTGGAATAGGTTGCCCAGGGAGGTTGTGAATGCTCCATCCCTGGCAGCGTTCAAGACCAGGTTGGACGAGGCCTTGGGTGGTATGATTTAGCGTAA